CATAATTACAGCCAGCAGATGTGATGGGCCAATTAACACCTCACACACATGCTGTTAGTGTGCCGACACCTGCTGGCATTGCAAGAGCCTGTTAGAGGTATGTGTCCATTTCTAAGATATTTTCTCACTTATGAAAAATAGATGAAGTAAGACTTGAAAGAATGAGCTCATCCCATTTCCTAAGTAATTTGAACACTGGTTTGAGTTCATTTGTGTTAACAAACACAGACAGAGATGAGATTTTCCAACATGGTCTCAACAAAGAGCTGTGCTATCTGCAGCACGTCTTTGTCCTCTTTTCCTGCACTACCCTAATCCTATGTTGTCTGCTCTCTGACAGGCTAGACAGATAAAGCCTGCTCTCTTGAAGCTTGGCAACCCATCAAAAGGACAAATGATGACCTGTGACTGTCACAGTTGGAAAAAGTTAAATACAGGTTTCCAAAAATTACTAATAGATATGTATTCAGCAGAATCAAGGCAAACAAGCCTTGTTTCCTCTCAAGAAGTTCAACTTCACCCAGAGATTATTGGTTAATACTTTAACCAAGAACCTAAGGGTCAAGTTGAACTTCCAGCCAGCAGAGTTGGGACCAAGTCATTGTTATGTGAGTCTCAGGTCTTTGCACTCAAGTCCCAAGTCAAGACTGACAAATCCCACCACCGTGTAGTTTTCATGAACGTACTTGAGCACAAGTCACGTGCAAATCTGATTCAGACAGAAATCATGTTCACTGATGAGAGGATGTTTTGAAGTTTAGTCATGTTATGCCATCATTCTAATGAAATAGCCACAAGTAAGTCACGTTAACTTTTTAAATTGCCATTAGCATAGATGAGTCGACTAAATAGCTACTGTAGCTAACCAGTCTGTCCAGTATGTTGAGACATTGCGACTGCCAATCCCCATGAAATCTTGGTAACCTTGCCATTCTGTCCAGTTACTATTTAAGGTAAAATCTAATTTCATTGTAGAGCTGCATGCAGCATATTAGTTCGCTCAGCCCCCTCCCTTTCTCTGTTTATCATGAGACTACTGCTGCACCTGGAACAGAGTCACATACGCACAGTGACAGGGCTAACTGTCAGCATCACAAGGCTAATACCCAACATTTATTAGCCATTTTATTGACAGAGTCGACCCATTTTCGGTGCCGATGTGAGGTTGCTGGGACTATTTACAGCTCAGTGTAGGATGTTATCTGCTGCTGCTGTGTTAGCTCATGCTAACTGGGCAGAGAGACAGACAGAGAGCGGGAGGAGAGTAGCTCACGCAGACGGTCCTTCAGCGCTGCTTCGAGAAGCAGCAACAGGCAATCGGTTGTTGCTTGCCCCCTCCTGTCCACACCCTACTATCACAGATACATTCTAATGCTGTGGGAAACACTGAATGCTAATATTGATAGGCTCTGAATCCGAGACAGCATCGTAATTATTTTTGCAGTTTGCACTTATGCAAACACTTAAAAATATCACAATGTGCATTGCAGTTCTTTTGTAGAAAGCCGCCATGATATCAGGCATCTCAGGTCTTAGCAATCCCAAAACCACCCCACAAAATCTTGAAAGGATTGGCTCACGTGATGTGGTGAATTCAGTTGTGGTGTGATGTCATCCATGGTCAACACAATCATTCTAAAAGTAACTTAATGAGGGTGTTGAATGTTGCATCTTAATGTGCACATTAGCTTTGTGGCTGTTCTCGTCTTCTTCCTCTTCTTCTACGACTACTTCTTCTTCCTTTTCTTCATCTGGTTAATGGTGGGTGGCAAATGGCATTTAAGGTGCAGTACCTCCTCTATCTGCGGGCGCATGGGTGGTTAAATTATATCAAGGCTTTATTGAACATGTATTTTATCCGTTTGGAGGAAAATTATACCGAGATAATAATGGCTATCGTTTTTCACCCAGCCCCAACTGTGCCATCAGCAGAGGAGAGATTTTCATTAGTGTGGTACAGTGTCATCATTATATGTGATGAACAGGACAGGACCCAGGGTAGATCCCTTGGGAACATCTTTTAGATACAGAAATTAGCCCAGTTTCACTGAAGGTGTGATGGTTTACTTTGACAATAACAGTAGCATCTGCTAACTCTCATCATACTCTGCCAGTCTGTTTTTGGACTTGAGAAGTGGCAGCTGTAGATCTGTGTTACTTTAAAAAGACATCATCCCAGTGAAGCTGGAGGCCTCATCACAGGCTCCTCTTCCATCTGTCATTTCCTCCAAGTGTAACAAGCCTCGCCTCGAGTCATTATGGACACACTCTACTCTGAGCTTCACAGCAAACAACAAAGTGGGAGAATCCTGTGAGCTCGACCTGTGGTTGTGTTGGAGCTGTTAGGTGTGAAGACTGCCGCTTCATTTCCTCCTTTTCCCTTCTGTCAGGGGACGCATGTCACAGCTTTAAAGCAGATTGCATTTTTTCTCGGCAAGCATCTTTTTTGCACAGCAGTGTGTGCTCAGTGCACACCCACGCACACGTATATACACAACAAACACACAGTCATCTCAGCCCAGAGGGGAGCTGAAGTCGAACCATTTCACTGCAGGATCAACCTCATAATGACTGTTCAGCTATTAGTGATGGAGTCTGGGTCGACATTTTCTAATGTAACACTGCAGTGGAACAGAAGGGGAGTGGTTTTTTCAACAAGCACTTATCACAGAAAACAAAACCCCCATGTCAAGTTTAAACATATAATGGCTTTTATTATTTCAGCTGAAATGAAATTTAGTTTTTGTCTTGATCAAGCCATAAAAATCAACAAAACATCATACAGAACATTAAAACAAGTGTATGGGTGCATAAAAAACCTTAGGGAAATATAAGATCAAAGTTTGCCCAAATAAAATTATAAAAATATCTATAATTATGTTGTTGCCATGGTATTGTCTTTTAAAATTCTTATCCTACAATAGAAAGCTGACAGTATTTTCTGTGAATATTCTGTTATTATAAAAAGTGCATTTTTTTTTCAAGGACCACTGAATTGCTGATGTTGTCTACACTTGAAGATCAGTGACAAATTACAGTAATCGTGCAGTCAGGGCTTCTGTACACAGTGTCCAGATCATTCTGTTCAAAAGTGATGAAGTGCCTCATCTCCTCTGTATTATTTTTGTTTCTCTGCAAGGCTAGGTTGCAGAATATTTAGTTTAATTTTAGGGCTGTGGTCAAACAGATAATTTAGTTTGACTCAGTTTTTGCCTATTCTTCAGTCCATCCATTGGTGGATGTGGAAAAAAAATCTGCATGTTAAATTGGTCACAGTGCACTGAGTGCATTCTACCTGGTAGTGTAGTGTGCCCACCAAAGAGTTTTCTTCCAGTGTATTTTTAAAATTTTCTGCAGCGCTGTATATTTACAATATGCTACAATAGCCAGCATGTGACATTGTGACAAGGTGCTACACATCTATTCTGTGCTAAGTGCTGCACATTTGTGTTTTTTTTTCTCTGGTCACAGAGTGCTGAAAAATGTTTAACTCAAGCAGCAACCTAGAGAGTTAAAAAATGTAGGCGATGCAAAAGTGGCAAAACCTGCAGTTCTTTGAATGACCATCTCAGGTTGGTTCATTATGCCAGTCTGTCCCTATTGACCCCCATGTTAAAATGCCCATCTATCCAGCAGAAATAAACATGTTAATAGCCTCCTGTCCAAATATGGTCAGTTCTGGCTCCACAAACTAAGATGGCAGTTGCCGAAATGCCGATCTCAAGGCTTCATAACAGGAGTCAAAAATCATTGGGTGACATGATGGTTGCTATGTCCATTATTTGTACGGTCTATGGTTCAACTTTGGGTAAATCACTGTGCTCGGCACTGTCAATTTTACATAGCTGTCCAGTCACAGTAATGGTCTTACAGGACAAATACCACAAAGACCAACTGTAACAACCTACATGTACAAGTGCAGAACAACAACAAGAGTGGAGGAGAAATGAGTACTGCTGGTCACATAGACCAGCAGGTCTGTCCTCTCTCCTTATGCGCTTCAGCTTTCCCTTCATCCAGAGCAAGTACTTTACCTTGTGCTGACATTTTTACTTTACAGATATTCTGTATCATTGCAACCAGCTGCAACCAAAGCCTCTCAGCTGAAAGAACACTGTACCTCCAAAGCACTCTAGCATTCCCAGCTGAGTGTTTTCAGTGGAGCACCTGGTGTATTCAGCAAAAAAAGAAAGGTTTGGTCGACACTTTTATGAAAGTAACACCAGTGATTGTCCAACCAATATGAATTTGGGTGGACAAGAGCATATTGAAAAACATACTGACCAACCGACCAGAAGGTTACAGCCCCACATATTTGTCCTGGTACTACGACTTTTTTACAGAACAAATGTAGACAAAAGAAAATCCTTTGACTTTCTCAAGGTGAGCTAAAACAAGCAGTTGTGACTGTTGCTGTGTGTTGCATGATTGCAGCTGTGATTATGACTATCTGATGTCTCTGTGTGTCCTCGCTGTCCTCTGGTGTGAAGGACAGCTCTCGCCTCAGTGAAACTGTGACATGTGTGAGTTCAGCAGCGGTGCATGTATGAAAGCTACACATACACACACACACACACACACACACACACACACACAAGCTGTCTGATGTGTTCATCAGATGTGTGTCTGATGGCCAGAGTGGCCACCTGCTGTTACTGATGCACAGCTGCGGGGGCTGTTTGGTCATTTTTGGAAACAGTACGAATGACTGACTTTTACATTCAGGACAGTGTGTGAGGTGAAAGTGTGTTTTCTTAATGTGTCCGACAAGTGACAGTGACTGTTTACAGCTCAGTGGGGGGAAATGTCAAAAGAAGGCTTTGTAATTTTCAGAGCAGCCGGCTGCACAAAATGAAGGATTGGTTATCTGTGTGTGGTTCATTGCAAAGCTCCTTGGAATTGTACCTGGTACAGATTTAATGCTGATTACAGTTATCTGTGTTTATTTGAAATCTCAGCTAAGATGAATTCACTGAACTGAGTTTGGTTTTTGCCCTCAGCTGTCGGACGAGCAACAGGAAGAGCCTGATTGTGACATCCAGCACCTCCCCCACCCTGCCGCGACCACACTCACCTCTGCACGGACACACAGGTAACAAACACACACACATAACGCACCTGTACTTCCTCTGACAGTTGAAACAATAACATTTGTGTTTCTTTAAAGTGTAAGTATTACCTTGGTACCAACAGCATCCTTACCAGCAGTTTGAACACTCATGGAATATTTTTCGGGCAACTTTGACTGTGATTTAAAAATAAAAGTTTAGCAGCCCAAACTAATTTAACAAATGGGCCTAGCAGCACCAGACTAAAGAATGATTGATCCTCTGGGGACTGTGAATACCCATGATGTTTATAGCAATCTGCCCAGCAGTTGTCAAGATGTTTTGCGGGACAGACAGACCTCACCATCTTACTGCATGTAACGAGGTTGCAAGCTGACATTCCAGAACAAACAAGAACAGGATCGGGATATATGCAGTTAACATAATCCTAAAAGGAATTCATACATATGTTTGAAATGCTGGGTCTACACATTACTAAAAGTGTATGTTATCTAAGAGAGACACTAAAAACAAATGGAATGGTCAGAGTTGTCACATTGAAATTTGAGGTGTGTTGATTGATTCACGTCGTCAACTCATGCATTGTGTAAACATGGAAGACAACGTTCCACTTTAAAAGTTATCAGCAGTCAGTGCTAGGTACCCCAACAGGAGGCTAACAAAAAATGGGGACGGTATGGTAGGTTTCACTATTAAACAGAAACGATGTGTACCAGCCTGCTTGGTGGAAACAAGGCTGTAGTATCACCTGTTTCTGGAGTGATGTTCATTTGCTCTTCATCTACTGAAAGGTGTGTGTAGTAACAGCAGGTGAGGTGAGTTACATGGAGTCGTGTTGCTTACTATCACACTACAACAAAGCTCAATTAACAGCTCCGACTGCACGCTGAGCACAGCGCAGTAACATATTTGATTACATAGATTAATGTGCAGGCTGACACACTGTAGGCTGTGGATCACAGATCATCCTAATTTTTAAAAATGACATAAATCAGTTGATATATTTGTGCAAATTGAGTGTTTTATACGTTGCGATGCTACAGAGGAGAATGACCTCCAGCTCTGCCACCAGAGACCTTCTTCATCCAGCTGTTGACACATGCTGTTTCCCTGTAAATGCAGAATGTCATAAAACCATCAACATGGGCTGCTGTTGAATTGATTGATAGGGGCACGTGGGTATAAACAGATCATATAAATTTAGCTCGGAACAAATTGATACTTGGAGCTTGATTGATATATTGCCATAGCCTGGCCAATTTTTAGCTTATCACAGATAGATGTGGGAGCACTGATGAGTTTATTTTGCAATTGTCAAATGTACCGCTCTATACATATCATGGACACGATCCTCTAAAGACTAAATTTGATAGATCATGATCAAAAATGCTTGTTGATTTTAACAAGTGTGTGGCACTATGACCTACCAAAATCAGCACCCGTATTGGAAAGTTATGGTCACTTATCAAGCAAGAAGTGTAAAACACGGTCTTGTTTGTAGCCTTGTGAGGATTTGCTGCTTCTTTCTGCTTTACATCATTGTAATCTAAATATTTTTGAAACCTAGGTCTTACAAAACAAGCTTTTGAAGGTGTTACCTTGAGTTCCATGACATTTTAATTGGAATTTTTCAGTGTTTCTACATTTTACAGATTATTTTAATAAAAGAAAGAAAAAACATCAATTCATTGATTAAAAAAAGAACTTATGACTCCTGAAATGCCTCAGAGGTAAAGCAGCAGGCTCTCTCACAGGCTTCACACTCACGAATATAATTGAAAAAGTGTGTGTGTGTGTGTGTGTGTGTGTGTGTGTGCGGTGACAGATGAAATGAGCGCTGACAGGATTTTTGTCAAACACATTTGACAGCATGTAAGACAAGCACACAAAACCCCCAAATCCACCACCAAAACCCACCCACTCATCGCCTCCCCCCTTAAAATGTAAAGAGAGAGGGAGAGGTGGAAAAGAGATAAACAACAGTGATAGTGATAGATGGTGACTGAAGGGGGGCGAGCAACAGAGTCGAAATATAGATTGGAGGGACTGAATAAAAATGGATTGGTGACAGTGACTGAATGGGAGGAAAAAAAGATGGCAGGACGGACATGAAAATGGAAAGATGGTAAAATATCGACAATTATATCTGACTGAGGGAGGGAGAGAGCTCCTCATTAACAGTGTGTGTTTGTGCTCAGCTGACAGACAGTTGCACACATCTCATTTCCTGCTCATGAAATAATGGAACTTGCCAACCTGTCACAGCGCCTAAACACACACACACACACACACACACACACACACACTTTGTTTGGATAAGTGGGCTTGTTGAAATGCCTTTTTCTCCAACAACTTCTGACCTCTTCAGAATAAAAAAAAAACATAAATATTAAGCTTTAAAAAATGTGTATCATTTGCACCAAAGCCACTAACAAGTCCGCCCATTGTTAAGGTGACACTTTCATGTAGACCAGTTGATGTAACTTTGTGTCAATCAAAACATCAGCAACTCCTCTTCCCTACAAGTAAAGTAAGTGATAACATTTAGTCGTAACTCCTCCCTGCTTCTTGTAGAAATCCATGCAAAATCGAGTGTGGTTGTGTCCCACTGAGACTTGTAAATAGTTTTAAATGTTTTTTATTGGTTCTGATGCTTGTGTAAAAAAAAAATATATATCATATTCTAAACATTGACTCTTGACCCCTATGAACTCTGAGTAAATGTTTTGAGCTCAGCAAAATTTGAGTTAAATTGATAATTAGTAATGGCCTGACATAAATCTTAGACCTAGTCAGGAGCAGATTTAAAGTCAAAATCTCAACTGTTTATATAAATCAGCAGCCTGATACACAGACATGATAGCCACAAACAACCCCACGTTAACAATAACCCACGCTGGCTTTCCTGCTAAAGTCTTCTTCTTATCAAGCTAACTTACAAATGTGAACATGCATCTTGTCCTTCACCTCAGTTTGTTGAAGGAGTGACCAAACAAACACTTGCTGGTGATGAGTGCACTACTAATGTCAGTTATCAGGCAAAATAGTTAGCTAGTAAGCTGGTCAAGCAGCAGCATACGGACTTACTGGCAAATGTCACTATGGTCCGTTCAGATGCCAGTGTGGTCCTTACTCTTAAATACCACTACAAACAACACACCGTCCATGAGTTGCAAGCTGTTGCCAAGTTTGTTTACTTTTTCTAAATTTCACATTACCTGTAGAGCTCCACCAGCTGCTGTTCATCAAACAGAGACACACCTCTCCTGTACAGTTCTGTTAGTTCTTGTATCGCAATGTCCATGAAATTACTTTTCTTTTTTTCGCTGATCATCCATATTAATGTTGCACAAATGATAATTGATGAGTTACTCATTAGCAAATCAGTGGGAGAATGTTAACAATGCATCCTAGCAGCACATGTGCTGCTTAGCAATAGCCATAGTTGTTGGGCATTTACATGAAGACGCATGGCTAAGATTGGGCTTAGTTACGACAAGGTATAAGTCTAGTTGGTGCAACTGATGTTAAGTCCCCTTTAAAGACTGGTCTTAGCAAAGACCGACTTTGCAGTGAGGACCAGGCTTAGGAAAGACCAGTTGGTGCAACCCGCTCCTGATAGCTGAATGATTGGGGTGCATACCACCCAACAACAATGTCCCTGGTTGGATTCCATTCAGAGAATGGAACTGAACCAATCTACGAAAAAATCTATATTTGAAGCTAATAACAGACTTTAAGAGGTAGGTAAATGGAAGTAGTAAAAAAACTTCATCATCATCTCTTTCACACGTAAAGATTTTCTGAATTCAAAGTTTAATCTCAGCAGTAATATAGGAGTTAGCGTTTGGCAATGTATTATATTATATTATATTATATTATATTATATTATATTAAATGTGATATGATATATATATACGATATATCCTATTTATCATATAATATGATGTATATGTATATATATATGTGTGTGTGTGTGTGTGTGTGTGTGTTTGTGTGTGTATANATATCATGATATGAGACTAGATATGGTCTTAGATTTTGGATATTATAATATCATAAGTGTTGTCTTGTCCTGGTTATAAAAGTTGCATTACAGTAAAGTGATGCAATTTCATGAACTTACCAGACTGTTGTCTAAATATTGTAATATTCGATTTTCTCCATACCATGTACCCCTAACTCCAATAAAACTAAAGACTTAAAGACATTAGTGTGGCCTCAGTGAGCATGTGATGTGCTTTTGTCATTATTTCTGACATTTTCCAGACTAAATTAGAAATTAAATGATTTAATCAATGATAAAATCAGCCCTTAGTTGCAACCTCAGAGATGAAAAAAACGTGTTTGAGAGTGAGCTGGTCTGTGTGGTGGTGGCCGTGGCCGGTGGTTTGGAGGTCACAGTGTGAGATAGCATCCATAATATTCTGTCCTTTGGCTCCATCCTTCCATCTCTTCCTCTGTTTTTTCTCCTTCCTGCCACCAGACTGCTGTGGCTGCTGTGTTGCCATGGAAACACTGCCACCAATCTCGCAGTCCACCTCACAGTCTTGTCTTTTTGTGTCCCGGACCCTGCAGAGGAAATAAATACCGCTAATTAAATATCACTAATTAATGTTGCTGTTTTTCATTTTCTCTCCTGTTGCTTCAGTAACTGCACAGTAAAATACTGTGTCCGTGTTTGTTCTGTTCAGGATTACATATTTGAATCAAGCTTCAATGGGGTCTCAGCCTTATGCTAAGTTTGATAATACCTCCACAGAAATGTACACATTAACAGAAACCTTTATCTAATCTAAACTCAGGCCGTGACGTCTCACTGTTGGCTGGTACTTTACTAATTAATATGCACCACTGGAGGCCATTAAACCTTTCCCCTCTTGCCCACAGACCATCTTTATACAAAGATGATTGCTTTTTTTTCTTCTTTTCCTCTAAATGTCTCACTCTGGCCCTAATCGTGAATTTCATCATGGTTTCAATCATCCAGCCATTTACCGCTAATCAAAAGGAAATTCCTCAA